CCTTTTTGTGACCACTGGGATGAGAAAAACCACTTATGCTCAGAGGTCTGTTCCCTAAACTACAAGTAAATGGTCTTCCAGTTCTGTCCAGTTTTACCTTCATATGGCTTTTTTTTTTTCTTTTTTAACCTTATGTTTGGGAAAACTTCTTTCTCCCATCCGTACTACATTTACTGCTTTTAAAGATTTATTTTTTTAGGGCTCGGCACGATAGCATAGTGGTTAAGGTTCTCACTTGCCACATGCCAGGAACCCATGTGGGCGACAGTTCTAATCCTTAATCCCGGCGCCCCGCATCCCATTCAGCTCCCTGCTTGTGGCCTGGGAAAGCAATAGAGGACAACCCAAAGCCTTGGGACCTTGCACCCATGTGGGAGACCTAGAACAGCTCCTGGCTCCTGGCCTCTGCTTGGCTCAGCTCCAGCTGTTGCAGCAGCTTGGGAAGTGAATTTCATGAAAAGTGTCCTTTATTCAATTCTATCTCGCATAGAAATGGAAAATACATATTCTCTTACCTTCCACATCCTTTGCTTTTTATACTTTTTATGTTTCTATAGATTTGTTTATTTTTATTGAAAAGGGGGGTTTCCAAAGAGAAGACAGAAAGATCTTCAATCCAATGATTCACTCCTCAAATGACCTATCACCTAAACTGAGACAATCTGGAGCCAGGAGTTTCTTCCAGGTCTCCCATAAAAATGCAGGGTCCCCAGGCTTTGGGTCATTCTCACTGTTTTCTCAGGCCATAAGCAAGGACCTTGATGGGAAGTGGAGCAGCTAGAACACAAACTGGCATCCGTACAGATGCCTGCACTTGGAGGTGCAGGATTAGCCATTTGGGCCAACGCACTGGCCACTGTCTCACACATCTTACTTATCCCAAACTCCCACAAATGCTCTTTATATTAAGTGACAGAATTACTAATGTAAAAACATCCCTATCTGGTTTGAAGACTTTATATTTCAGGTTTATATTTAGATTGGCTAAAACTAGGTGGAAAAATAAAGGGTCCAAAAATGAAAGGGACATAATAAGGTTAATTGATTCTTAAAGCTGACCGTTTTTTCAATTTTATTTTATTTTTAAAGATTTACTTTTGTTGGAAAGGCAAATTTACAGAAAAAAAGAGCTTGCATCTGCTGGCTCACTCCTGATCCAATCCAAAGCCAGAAACCTCCTCCGGATCTCCCTTGTAGGTGTAGGGTCCCAAGCTTTGAGCCATCTTCCACTGCTTTCCCAGGGCATAAGTAGGGAGCTGGATGGGGAGTGGAGCAACCAAGACACAAACCAGGGAACATATGGGTTCCTAGCATTTGGATGTGGTGGACTAACCAGTTGAGCCAACATGCTGGCTACATTTTTTTAAAGTGGTTCAAAAACTGCTTTAACTTTATCAAGAAAAAGTATGACCCCTAAAAAATGGATTTGATAACTTGGTGTTTGTTACCAGCAAGATGCATTTGTAGACTTTTGCATCCTTAGTGCCTTCATATCTGGGAGACTAATAATTTCTGTGTCTTGTTCAATTTAACACATATTAGCCCAAAGGCAGCTATTGGCTTTTGGAACTTGCCCTTAGGCTAGCTTCCGTGAAAGGCTTGTTGTGGCAAGTTTAATTGTCCACTGGGAGTTTCTAAATGCAAAATTCCCACAATGGCAGAAGGTTTTTTGTTTTGTTTTGTCTTTGATCTAGGGGTTAGAAACCTGATTAAGATATCTGAATCCCACATCAACATACCTGGGTTGAATTCTCAGCCCTGGCTCCTGACTTGAGTTTCATGCTAATGTAGACCCTGGGACTTAGTAGTAATGACTGAGGAGTTTTCTGCCACCTATGTGGGATAGGTGGATTGACCGAGCTCTGGCATAGGTTTCTGGGCATCCGGGGAGAAAAACTTCACAAGCACTCTTTATCTGTGTGTGAATTAGAGTAGGAGACTATCTCTTTGCAGATTTCTTTGCCTCTCAAATGAATTTTTTTTAATTTATTTTATTTTTATTGGAAAGTCAGATATACAGAGAAAAGGAGAGACAGAGGGGAAGATGCAGTCCAATGATTCACCCCCAAAGTGGCTGCAACTGCCAGAGCTGTGCCTATCCAAAGCCAGGAACAAGGAGCCCGGAGCATCTTTTGGGTCTCCCACATAGGTGCAGGGTCCCAAGGCTTTGGGCAATCCTCGATTGCTTTCCCAGGCCTCAAGCGGGGAGCTAGATGGGAAGCAGTGCCTCCAGGACACAAACCAGTGCCCATATGGGATCCTGGAGTGTGCAAGGCAAGGTCTTTAGCTGCTAGATTACTGCCCTGAGCCTTCAAATGAATTTTTTAAATAAATAAAACTCACACAGAAATTATGATGTGACACCGCTGCCAAGTTTTTACTCATCAAAACTCATTTTTTAAAAGGACTTATTCGTGTGAAAAGCAGAATTACAGAGAAGAGAAAGACAGAGCTTATACCTGCTGGTTCACTCCTCAAGTAACTACAACTGCAAGGCTTGGGCCAAGCCAAAGCTAGGATCATGGAACTCCATTAGGAGTTCTCCCACGAGTGGCAGGCACCCAAGTACTTAGGCCATCATCTGCTGCTTTCACAGGCACAGAAGCAGGAAGTTGGGTCAGAAGTGGAGCTGCCAGCACTTGGGATGCAGGCTTTGAAGGCAGGAGCTTAGCCCTCTCTGCTACAATGACATCCTGTCAACTAAACTTAATTCAATCTATTGAAGTAGGTTCCTTTTTAGCATACAGATTTTCATATTGAACAATTAACCCAATAAATTACATATTCATGTAAGCATGCTATACATTTGTAAGTCTTTTTTCTACAATGCACAAGATTAATTTTGGATGCAAAATAGATTGTTCTCACACAGCATTAGTCCACTTGGGAGTTTGTGCCCAGGGCTCAGGGCTGGATGAGCACAGGCAACAGGCGACCACCTGTCAGCACTACTTGTATAATTACAGGACCTGTGGATCACAGGACTCACAAATTGCATTGTAAACTCTGCAAAAAAAAAAAAAAAAAACCTACCCAACACTGATTTGGCTCTGCGTACAACTTGCTGAGTGTGTATCTTGTGCCATCAAATTCATTTTTTGAAAAGTCATCACAAGAAAATGTTTCACTACTTAAAATTAGAATTAGCATTACCTTGCTCAACAACTATTGAAGTGGCTAACTGAACAGGTATTTTTTTCAACCACATATGTTGCTCAACTTTTACAATTAAATTAACTATACCCTAATACAGCACCACCATTTTCACCCACTGTGAAATTAATGTCAAAAGTCTTCTGTCATGTAAGTTCCAAGTTTTAGAAAAGGAAGCAGACCTGTCCTTTTCTTTGTGACTTGTTTCCTGGACTGCTTAGCTTTTCCTCTCCAGTCCTTATAAACCTTTTAAATCCTTCCTATATTTAGTAAGTACTTAAGATTTAAGATAGTTTGTTGGTGAAGGGACATAATATATTTCTCAGGCTCTTTAGTTTACCCCGATTTACACGGATACAGAAGCTTCCTAGACCAGCAGCTTTCTTTAACATTAAGATAAGTTCACTTTTATTCCTGTGAAAGTCTGGCCTAATTTATTTTTTGTAAGCACTTGCTTTGCTTGCAGAGTACCTGTTTATAAGAGAGTTGAATAACAATGCAAGGAAAGTCTTAAATAGCCGCTCTAATAAATCCTAAGATGCTGCAGTACTCTGACCTAGGACACAATTTGATCCCTTAAGCCCTCTCCAATCTAACACTCAGTGAAAATAGCAAACAAAAGGCCTCAGTGTTGGTTGAAAACCAAGTTCTCAAAACAGGTAAAGATCCTGTTTACTGCTTCCAGAAAGCTGAGGAGAAAGGAGTTTTCAGATTATAAATGACAAGAGTTGGCCTGTGTAGCACAGGACAATGGCAACAGAGCTTTACTTCTTAGGGGAGCGAACTATGAAGACAGAGAAACAGAAGGGCTGAACAAATCGGTAAGCTTTTAGCTTTGACGCAAAGAATTGCATCAGTCCTTGAGGAAAAACCAAGCAATCTTCATTTTTCAAACCTTTTCTAACCTTTTATTATCTGTGACACATCAAATGAGGGAGCACAAAGGATGCCACGTGTTTTCGAGTGGCCCCAATTCGGCCAACTGCAGTTGCCCGAGTTCCTAGCATGAAGGCGTGACCAAAAAAAAAAAAAAAAAAAGACCACAGGGCTCCACCTGCAAGCAAAAATCCTCTCACAGAACGAGTTTTACCAAGATAAGTTTCCTCTCATTTTAAAGTCCCCTCTAGCCCCACCCCCAGGCGACAAAAACTCATCCATGTCTAAGGTACTGGCGTTCAGCGTGTTGAGTCACCGGCTCCAGCGGTCGTGCGACATACACAGGATTTGATGACGGAGATTCTAAGGGGCGCAGGTGCCAAGGTAAACCGCTGGCAAGGACGACCGTGGCCGTGACCAAGGGCAGAGGCCGGGTCCGGACAGAGTCGCGGCTCTCACCCTGAGGCTCCGCATTTCAACTTCGGGGCAAACTTCAAGGCTTTCCCATGTGACTTGCGTGCTCGCGCCCCTAGGCGTTTTTAATTACAAGAAAAAGGATTTTTCGGTGACACTCCTCCTCCCAGCCCACACACCGAAATCCTCTCTCGCTTCCACGCCCCTTCCCCACCCTGAACTTCTCGAATCCCCGAGGCGAGTCTCGTCAGCCCCTAATCGCTCCCCCGCCCTCGGGATGCTCAGGCTGCGGCACTTTGCCATTCATCAACCGGTTCACACCGGTGCCGGCCGCCGTGAGGTGACGTCGGCCAAGGGGAGGGCGGGGAGTCCGCCGCCTCCGCCCCGGCCGGTCCCGCGTTGGGCGGGGGGGGCCTGCGGTCGCTGGGCTGTGATTGGTGGGCGCGGCGGCGTACGTCACACGGGCTATAAACAGCAGGCCTTGTGACGCAGAGGCGCCTCGGCGCACGCATTGGCTCTCTGGGCTGCGGGCCGGCTCGGCGACGTTGTCTTGTCGGAGCCGCTCACTGCATGGTAGAGTGTGGTGCCGCCGCCGCCTGCCGCCTCGCCGCCGCCGCCTGCCCTGCGTCCGCCGCCGCCGCCTGTGTCGCCGCCGCCTCGGGACCGGCTGTATGATTAGGCCACAATCTTCAATGAGTAAACATATTCCTGTGAGTAGCCGCGTCCCCTGCACCCCGCCCCGCCATCCGCGCACACACACACACACACACGCACAGCGCCGGTCCCCGCCGCCGCCGCCTTTGTTCCGAGCCCGGGCCGCGCCATGCGGGTGGGCCCTGCCGGGAGCGGCCGGCCGTTGGCAGCCGGAGGCACCGGCAGTCCGCCCGTGTCCGCGCCGGGTGCGGGGCCTGCGCGGCGGGCGGGCGGGGGCGGCTGGGGCCGCCGCAGAGGGCCGGGCGGGGCAGCACAAAAGGCCGCTTTGTGACCGGCGCCCGTGGCCCTGGGGTCCTTCCCCGGGACGCACCGGGTCCCCGTCCTTCCCCCCTCCTCCCGGGCTTCTCCCCTTCTCCGCCCGCCCCGTCTTTGTCCGGCCGCCCCGGGAGCGAGCGGGAGACGTGGCCCCGGGGTTGGGGTGGGGCGCGGGCGCTGCGCGTGGCACTGCGGAGCCGGAACCGGCGAGGGCGCGGGCACGGCGGGCTGGCCGCGGGCTCGGGGCTGGCTCCCCGTGCGCGCCCTGCTAACGGTCCGGGAGCCGGGGCTCGGCGCGGGACGGGAGGGGAAGCCGGGGCCGCCGCCTCCGCCGTCGCCGCCACCGGGCCCCGCCGCCCTCCTCCTGTGCCTCCCCGCGCCGGGCTCCCGCGGGCCTCGCACAAGATGGCCTCGGCGCCCGCGCCCGACTGAAGGCGCGGCGGCGCGAACCCGTGATTGCGACGCGGACAGGGGGCGCCGCGGGCGGGCCAGGTGAGGACGCCGGCTGCCCGGCTCGGCCTCCTCCACCTGCGAAGGCCCAGCTGTTCCCGGACCGAAGGCCCCACCCCGGGTTCCCGGGGTAATGATGGGAACAAGTCGGGGCTTGTCCCTGGGCCGGGCGCTGTGAGCCAGGGCCGCTGGGACACCCAGGTGGAGAGTCCTCGGCCGGCCACCTGGCGTGCAGTGCCCCTTGCCAGTTTCACAAGGGTCCTTGCACGGAGCCTTCTAAAACCGGCAACTGTTTGCAGCTGCTGTGCTGAGTTGTTGCCTCCTGCCGGCTGTGGCAACAGTAACCCGCCAGAGCCAGAATTCCGAGGGTTCCTGTTCGTGGAACCCTGAGCCATTCCAAGGGCAGAAAGTTGCTTATGTCCACGGTAGTTGGAGCCAGCGACCCGCTTGAGATCCAGATTTCGGGGGCGGTAATCGCCTCCTGATAGGCTTGGGGGGAGGGGGAGTAAATTCTGGTTGAGGGTAAATCAGTTAAAAACCAGAAAAGTAGGTCGTTCCCAGGAGTTGTTTCATTAGAACGGCTCACTAAGGCTGGAGGAAGAGTATGTGAAACACACCAAAACGGTTGGTTATACAAATTAATTGGCTTGACTCTGCGGTTGCTCTTCTCCCCACCCTCAGTTTCTCTTACTGTGGTTATATTCAGGCGACCTGGGAGGGCAAAATGCTTTGGGATTTCGGAACTCCTGCCCGGGGGAGTTTTCCCTGGAGTGCCTGAGGCCCAGTGGGAGGAATGTCGGTGGTTCCCGGTTTGCACGGGAGCACCCGCCCGGCCGCTGGGCGGCTCCACCCCGGGCGTTCTGTGCTGCTTACTGGGCAAATGGAATAAGAGTGTGAAATACTGTTTCAGAAGTTTCACCTTGCAAGTGATTTAAAGGATCTGGAATAGAATGCTGTGTTAAAGGTTAAAGCTTTACAAGTGACTGTGGAAGTGGATAGGCTGAGGTGAGCGGATAATGAAATTCCGGAGTCTTGATGTTAGTTCCTCTGTCTTGCCAGAAAAGTAGGCTGCATTTTATACGTGTTTTCTACAATCTTTTAGATAGATCGCTGTATGAATTATTCTCCAAAAATTAGCAAAGTTCTGGAAACTATCATCCACTCCAAGCAGATAAAATGAAAGGACAGATAGCTTGAATTTAATTTTAAAGCCTTTAAATGCTTGAATTTAAGCATGAAAAAGTGATGAAGTCTAAGTCAATAGTGTGAGCCATGTCAACCATCTCTGGTTTTTTAAAACTTCCTTTTAAAACCTTGTGTTAATAAAAGGTGGAGTAAGCACATTGGCTCTGTGGCTTGCTAGCCTACAGTGCTGAGCCCAATAATTGCTTCCTATGGGAGTCAAAACTATTGTTTGATAAATTTGTGACTGCTTTTTTTAATAGTTTATGTGCTTACTATGTGTTTATATACTAAAGTATTTTCCATTTGATTTAGGAAATAACTTTGCCTTTTCTTTTTCTTAACAGCAGTTCTGTGGTGTTCTTGGTCACACATTTATGGAGTTTCTGAAGGGCAGTGGAGATTACTGCCAGGCACAGCACGACCTCTATGCAGACAAGTGAACTGTAAAAATTTAATACTACTCCACCAAGAAGTCCCAGTAGAAGTGGTTAACCTGGACACAGAAGGATTGAATTGAAATCTACAGAGCATTTTAGAAGAGTTCTGACCTGGATGGGGTAAACCTCAGTGCACTTCCTTCCTGTTGCCTCAGTATTACTGGATTGAAGAATTGCTGCTTCTTGTTAGGAGGTTCATTTCATTTCCCATTACTTCCAACTTCATACTCAAAGCACTGAGAATCGCAAGTGGAGGATAGTGAAGTAGACTTCAGTTTCTTTACGGAATTTCTGTATTCAGGTGTTTGTTTTTTTTTTTTTTTTTTTTTTAATTTCAATACCCTAGTAAGTGTTTTTTTTTTTAAGTAAATTAACATGGCTCGAATGAACCGTCCTGCTCCTGTGGAAGTCACATACAAGAACATGAGATTTCTTATTACACATAATCCAACCAATGCAACATTGAACAAATTCATTGAGGTGAGTTTTGATACTTTTTATGTCTTAATTGTGATTTAACAGTGGGCTTAATTCTTACAAATTTTTACTTTTAGAAAATGAGTGGTGGTATACTTTCTAGTTCTGGTTCCCAGGAATGAAATTTCAGTGCCTTTAGGTTACAAGTATGCATTTGGGGAAAGATAGGTGCTTAAGTTTTTGGATTTATAAGTTATATGTAGTTCTACCTGCCTCTTGAGCTTTACATATGAACGGGTTTAAAAAAAACAAACCTGTTATAAGAAATTTCCAGGGGTAAGGTTCTTTATGCTTTTTTCATGTCTTTCTAGGCTGACGTTATAAGTGAAAATCAGTCTTGGATCCCCATTTCTCTGCCCAGAGAAGGAATGTAGTGCTAAATAATTCATGCAGAAACATGAACACTTTTTCTTAATATCCAAAGTATTCGGAAATCACAAATAGGCCTCAGATCATAAGGGGAAGCTTTAACAATACTTTGCCTTTTTGCCCCCAGTGTAAAGAGTTATTGCTACTATTTATGTATTTTAAACCCTCAGTTTTTAAATGACATGTTTTCTTGCCCTTTATTTTCAGAACTTCAAATTATAATGTGTAGAAGAGTAAACATTTAAGGGAGTAGTGTAACTGAGTCAGGTTACTTACTTGGTTATAAACTGTTTGGTTATTTTTATCTTTGCCCTTGCTCTTTTCCTTCTCCAAGCCTGCATCTCAGGCTATCCAATGTTTCATAAGTAGAATCTGGTTGGTATGTGAAAAGCCAAAGTTTAAATTTCTCTGGTATGTTAAAAAGAATTGTTATTCCATTTTTCTTTTGTACTATTCTAGTGTTGTAATTTTGAAATGATTCACTTCCCTGTTAGACAGAGGTGCCACCACTCCTTCCATGATTTTTTGTTAACCAGCATAATATGATCAGAATGACATGGTGAGCATTAGACATCATTAAGTTCTTTTAATATGTTTCATCCAGGAACTTAAGAAATATGGAGTTACCACAATCGTACGAGTGTGTGAAGCGACTTATGACACTACTCTTGTGGAAAAAGAAGGCATCCATGTTCTTGTAAGTATTTAACGGTTCCTGTATGTTTATGATGCAAAAGTTTATTCAGCTAATCCACAGGCCTCAAGAAGCTGAATTTGTGGGTTGTTGAAAGGCATACCGTATCCCCAACGTGGATATCCTGGGAGGTCACCCCCAGGCTCTGTCCAGGCGGCACAAGGGAGCACAGGGCTCTGCCCCATGATGTACGGTCCCTTCCCGCAGCGTTGGAAAGAAAGCTGGGCCTTGGGTCTGCGCCTGCATATTCCTACAGCTTCTCAGAGTCCTTTGGACAATGACTGAGGGGACAAACCATGCAGGAAACAGTCCTTGAGAAACTGCACACACAGTATCTCCATTCCTAAATGAAGAAAGTTGACGGGACAGGCATTCAGCCACTCAGTTAAAACTCAGAGTACCTAGGACAGAGAGGCGATAACTCGGATAGGTTGTTCTTGCTCAGGTGGAAAACCTGGATTTTGCTTGCAGTGTGAGCCTCAGCTATTGTTGGCATTTAGGAAGTGAAACATGAATGAGAGCTTCCCCTCTCACTTTGTGTGCACTCAAACTGATTAAAATAGAAAAGAGGGAGGGTGGGGGAGGATGTGAAACCATGCAAGTGGGCATTTAGTACCTTGGTTCACACTTGATAGTGCATGGGCTTGAATTCCAGGTTAAGATGTGGGATATTAAGTCTCTGACTTTTAAGAAAAGCAAACCTCTTTTAAAAAATTTATAGACGAATGTTTTTGATAACGAGTGTTATAAACAGTTTTACTAAACTAGTGTTTATAATGTTCTTTTGATTTAGGATTGGCCTTTTGATGATGGTGCACCACCGTCCAATCAGATTGTTGATGACTGGTTAAGTCTTGTGAAGATTAAATTTCGTGAAGAACCTGGTTGTTGTATTGCTGTTCATTGCGTTGCAGGCCTTGGAAGGTAAGAAAAATTTCTCAGTTTATTCCTATATTAAATTATGGATTGATATGAAAAATAGAAGTACAATTGACAACTATTATGTTTCTGGACTTTGAAATTGCATAAACAAAGAATTGTTTTGAATTCAGCTTTGAAAAACTGATTATCAAAATTTTTGTATTGCCAGAGCTCCCGTGCTTGTTGCGTTAGCATTGATTGAAGGTGGAATGAAGTATGAGGATGCAGTACAGTTCATAAGACAGTAAGTAATGGATTCTCTTCATTTGAACTGTCACTGATTATTGAACATAGTGTTAATACCAGGAGAACCTCTTTACATTTCATGTAGGTGCTTAAGTTACTGAGATTGTAATCCCACAATGTGCTTTGAATTATTTTGGTTTAGATCCTTGATTGCAAAACCTCCATCTAGTATATATGTATGTGTGTGTGTGTTTATAAATATATATTATATATACAGTAGAGAATGCTTTAAGTGTTCCAACTCCGTGACCTTTGTAGCATCTTGCCTAGATTTATGCATTTCAACTTGTTATTACCACTTAAGAGACTTAGAAAATTAACTTTTTACTGTCCTGCTTCTGTTTGTATAAATCACAGCATATCCAAAGGATGATTACTAAAGGAGAAGTGATAAATGTCCAGTATACTAAATGTCACAATAGAAGAATTTGGCTTTAACTTGCTTTTTTGTTTCCCCCTTCCAGAAAGCGGCGTGGAGCTTTTAACAGCAAGCAACTTTTGTATCTGGAAAAATACCGTCCTAAGATGCGGCTGCGCTTCAAAGATTCCAATGGTCATAGAAACAACTGTTGCATTCAATAAAACTGGGGTGCCTAATGCTGTTGCCTTGGAAATAAAAGAGACGGGATCTAATTTGACATACATACTAGCCAACATTTTGGCTAGGTGAATAAGTTTAATGATGCTTCCTAAGGGTAATGGAATCAGTTTAGCAGGCCACAAGTTTGACAGAATTGCAGCCTCTGTTTGGATCATAGCCAACCTGTTTGGACATTTAGCAAAAGATTCTTGCTGTTTAGCATTTAAAATGTGCTTATCATTTGTACCAGTTGACCTTTCCTGAAATCATGCAGTACTGAGTTGTACCCTAAGTCTGTCCCATGCCAGAATTTTATCAGTACACAAGAAATTTAGAAAATTTAGGTGCCAAAATACCCAGCACAATACTTGTATATTTACTATCATACAGAATTAAAATCCCATGAACTATGAACTCTTGACCTTATGTGGTTTCTTCCTTTAGTCATTTCAGACATGGAAAGTAGGGACTATCTGGTTATTTGCTTGCTTTTACTTTATGTCTCCCACATTCATACCAGTGTACATCAGGTTTGCTTAACCATTGATTTTTTTTTTTTTTTTACCAATTATTATTTAATATGTTTCTATAAATTTATTTTTTGCTATGAATAGGAAACCTCCATTTGGAAAATCTACATTGTACAGAAGCACATGTCTTTAAAGTCTTCAGACAAAAAAAAAGCCTTACAGTTAATTTAATGTTTGCACTCAGAGGTGCAGCTTAACAGGGAGGGCCTGAAAAAAAAAAAAAGAATGGGAGGGGGCTATTAACTATTTTTTAGTAAAACGTTGCCTTTGTCTTGTGCAGAACATGTAGAATATGCTCTTTAAGTTAGTAAATATTTTTTTAAGAGGTAGAGATGCTTTGTTGTAGCTTAAAATTCTTAATCATAAAATTTCTGAAATTCCTGTAATTTTTCCATACTTATCAAAAGTTGTTTACCAACTTATTTTGTTTGAAGTGTGATTTTTTTTTTCTTCCCAACCTCTTGGCAAAAAAAAAAAAAAGTGGGTTTCTGCTTATGGTTTGAGCAGACATCTAATATTTTATATGCCTTTTGAGCTGTGTAACTTAATATTTGAATACTTGATAATTTGTTTTATTATGTAATTGATAAAATGGTGATGTGTATTAATGTTAGTTCAACCATATATTTATACTGTCTGGGAATGTGTGGTTATAGTTCTGTGGGAGAAATAATTTCAGTGTTCACCAGCTTGTAAAAACTTAGTGCGAGAGCTTAAGCATCTAAATAAATAATGAAATGCATTTATCATTGAGATTGTTTTGCTTAAATTTAACTTATTTTGCAGATAAAATGAATTGCACTTTGCTTAATGCCATTCAATGTAACGTGTCCTCACAATTTTTCTTTAACAAATGAAGAATCAAATGAAGTGAGCATTTTACCAAGCTTGTAGACAAAACCTAGTGCGCACTGTTAAATACTAAAAATGCTATTTATTATAAGCTTTTTAAGGGTATAGATAATTTTGAATCAGTGTGTACTGAAGAGCATAATAAAGGAAAGCCTTGATTTTTTTTTTTTAAAGCTCACTTGCATTGCTAATGGTGTTACAACCTCTGGACCTCAGTTTATTCAGTTACAAATTAATATTTTAGATTTTTTGATTGATTTGAATTTTTATTTGACCCATAAATACTGAATACTAAGTTTCAGTCATTTAACATGTACTTTCTCGTTAAAGCAGATAGTTAGCAAATACCAGTTTAAAAGTGTAGAAGACAAAATTGAAGTCAGAAGTGGTCCTCTACCTTGGAGTTCTAAGGAATTTACTATCATGCCAGTTCAGTTAGGACTTGGTATATTCCATCCTTGAAATTTTCCAGTGCAAGGATAGAACCCTGGAGATCCTTGAGTATTTTAAGTCTTTGTGAAAGATCATTGAGTTTAATAAATTATACACCATTCAGTAATCCATAAAACAACATTTATTGAAAGGGGAGATGCCATCATGATTAATGAAAAATATCTCAAGTTTGGAAGGCTGAGTTAATTGACAGTGTTGGTTTTATATGGTGCTAAAAATCAATTTACTTTATAAACCTTATCTGTACAATATATAACATGAAATTTGCTTTTTATTCAAATATTTTGTATCTTGTAAATATGGCTGACATCAGGAATATCTACAATATTAATACATCCTGAAGAATTCCTTTTATTTAACAAGAATTGAAGGAATTATGAGTTGAGTTCCTAAATACAAGTTAACAGATGTTTTTCCAAAGTTTGACCAACGGGTTTGTATACCCTGATGAAGATGTAAATAACTAGTTGTCTAGGCTTGTCTTTAGAAACCATGTGACTGGTGTAATTAATGACGTTGCTGAATTATAGCAAGAGAATAGAATCTTTTCTGGAAAGAACCCTAGAAGTAGGTGCCATTGGTAATTCCACAGTGCACTGCATTGTAATTGATCTTTGTTGCTCCTTGGGCAGTGCTGTCCCATTTCCACGCGTGTACCCCACTCTATACTTAACAGCGGCCTGAGTGGGCATGAAGTCACCTACTTGCATCCTCCAGAGCAAGGAGGCTGTAGAATCTCAGATCTGCTGTTTGCCAGGGTCACAAGCATTGCAGAGGACATGAGAGTACCCCAGTCTCCCAGAACCACGCCCCTACCCAAGAGATTGCTTTTTTAAGGAGTTTCAGGAAATATAATTTAGACTGCTTTGAAGGGACGGTGGATTTTAATATGTAAACAGTGAAGGTCTTTTAAATTAAGTTACACATGTATCTGCTAAACATGTTTATACTCTGATGATCCCTTGAATTAATGTTTGTGTATATATATATATATATATATATATGTGCCTCTCCTTACATCTGAATCGAAAATTAAAGATTGGTTTAAAAGTGCTTGACACAATGTTTCTGCATTGTTTGTGGTAAACCATTTAAGCAGAACTTTGGAAGTAAGTTAATTTGCCTTTTTTAAATCCTTAGTTTTGGGGGTTTTTTTTGTTTGTTTTAAGGATTTATTTATTTATTTATTTATTTATTTATTTGAAAGGGAGAGAAAACAGAGAGGGAAAGATAGATCTTCCATATACTGCTTCACTCCCCAAACTGGCTGCAACAGGCAGGCATGGACCAGGCTAAAGCCAGGATCCAGGAAATCTACCCTGTTATCCTGTGTGGGTGACTTGGGCAGTCATCCTAATGACTGTCTTAGGTGAATTGGCACCAAGCAAGATGATAATGGATCGGGCATGGCTTGAGCATGCCAGTTCAATTGACAGTCTTGAATGCTTGTGTCATTTAACTTGCTGTGTCACAATTCCAACAGCTGAAACTTATTAAATCAGAGCAATGACTCAGCATTGTTCATTTTAGTCTCAAGAACTTTTAATTTTGAGTCAATTTTATAAGCTGCTATGGCAAAGCAATTAAGGGACAGTATTAAATATTTTCTTAAATGGAATTGATATATATGAACATTTAAGAAGAAGAGCTGACAGTAATTACACATACTAAGTAGTTGGTTAGTAATTGTTATAACTACTTAGTATCACAAAGGCAAATCTACAGGTTGAACTACCCACTGGTTTAATTACCAAATGACCACAGGTGAGCCAGTCTGAAGCCAGAAGTTTCTTCCTGGTCACAGGTGGGTGCGAGATCCCAAGGCACTAGGCCATCCTCCCATTTTCCCAGAACATGAGTAGAGAGTTGGACAGGAAGTACAGTCGTTGTATGGAATGTCAGCGCTTAACAGGGCTAGGATTAGATAAACCACCATGCTCCCACATTTGTCCCAGCAGTAAAGTCTAGGTGACAAGTGGATAAATGGTGGAACTCAAGAATTCAGAATCAAAGGGATTGTTTAATCCTGTCAACTATATAACCAGTATGTTAATGTTTTTACTGCTTTTTCTGTAACCATTTTCAGTATTTTTACTGGGTAGGCAGATATTCAGAGGAAGATCTTTTTGTCAGCTGGTTTACTCCTCAAGTGGCCAAAACAGCTAGAGCTGAGTTGATCGAAAGCTAGGAGCCAGGAGCTTCTTGCAGATCTCCCACTTGGGTGCAAGGTCCCAAGATTTGGGCCATCTCTACTGATTTCCCAGGCCACAAACAGGGAGCTGGATGAAAAGTGGAACAGCTGGGGTACGAACCCACACCCATATGAGATCCCAGGAAAACAAGGACTTTAGTCACTCAGCTACTACTATGGTCACACTGTAACCAATTGTTAAAACTTAAAAGTTCTTGGACTCAAATAGAAATTCTTGTTTCTTTAGAAAGTGTTCTAAGGGCTGTGTGAACCTTTGCTTGTGAATTTTTTTTCCTTGACATTAAACCCATTTGTATTTTTTTAAAGTCTTTTTTTTTTTTTTAATAATTAAAAAGACAGATATACAGAGAGGAGGAGAAACAGAACGATCTTCTGCCCTGTGAATCACTCCCCAAGTGGCTGCAACATCTAGAGCTACAGTGGTCTGAATCCAGGGGCCAGGAGCCTCTTCTGGGTCTCCCACGTGGTACAAGGTCCCAAAGCTTTGGGCTATCCTCAACTGCTTTCCCAGGCCACAGGCAGGGAGCTGGATGGGAAGTGGAGCTGCCATGATTACAACCAGCGCCCATATGGGATCCTGGCGAATGCATGGCTAGGACTTTAGGTACTAGGCTACTGTGCCGGGCCCGAACTTTTGTTTTTACAGAATTTAGAAACCCAGGTCTTTGGAGTACCTACTATTTATCACAACAAAAGAAAGGGAGCTTGGAGTATCTTGCATGAGGATTAGAATGTTTAAGACATCACATGCACTCAGGAGACACAGCTGTTCGCACAGATACCCCGCAAGGGAGACAAACTCATGGGCTGCAAAGCTAAGAATACACGGCATTAATTGCTACCACATCAGGGCTTATGAAATACAATACTCCACATAACTAAAATAGCAAGTATGAGATAATATATTCAAGCAGCCAAAATAGATACCATGAAATTAAAGGCATTAAAAGTTGTGCTTATTAGAGACTCGCAGGCACTCAAAGCTCATTGAAATGCAATTTTAGTGTCCTACCAGATTAGAGGTTGTAAGTGAAGACAAGCACAGGGAAGAGAAAAGGAATCCTGCGCGTTAGCAGTACGTTAAACCTGCTGGCGTGGCTGAGGACTGACTCGAGAAAATGCCATTGGTTAAAATTCAGTGCTATCGGCTGAAGCGTCCATCTTGAGGACAGCCCTGCTTCACACATACCACAAACCGCCCCTGGTCAAGAATATAAGCTATTAAGGTTTTTTTATTTTTAAGAAGATTTTGTGATCAACTTGTTTCCAAGGGATGCTGTTTAGTATTTTACAAAACGATGCCATTAATAACTTTGACAAACAGTGGGCCAAATTTTTTTAAAGATTTATTTTTATTGGAAAATCAGATATACAGACAGGAGGAGAGACAGAGAGGAACATCTATCTGTTGATTCACTCCCCAGGTGGCCCCAATGGCTGGAGGTGAGCCCATTCTAAGCCAGGAGCCCAGAGCCCATAGGGGATCCCTACGTGTGCAAGGTGAGGACTTTAGTAACTAGGCTGCTGCACCAGTCCCAGTGGGTCAAATTTAAACGTTTACTGCAATAGTACTTAGAACATACGATAGAGAATGTTGGAGAGCATTGTAGCAGCATGAGAACATCCCACAGTGTCCTCACAGGGTGGATACTTCAGAGGCATTTAATAAAAGCAAGTTGAGATGCTGTGGCATGGTTACCAGCTCCCAGGTGAAATGGGCAGAGAGGCAGCACTAGCCAGGATTACAGATGGGCTGAAAAAAGAGGGCTGCCCTGAAGTGCTTTCCTGAAATACTAAGTTCAAGGGGAAATACTAAGTTAAATGGCCAACTAGGAGCAATCCAGGAGAGGTGAGCGGAGACCAAGAACTGAACACTAGGTCTCACTATCCCATTTGATGGCTTGCTGGCGTCCATTCTCTACCTTTTTTTTTTTTTTAATGATTTGTTTTTTGTTTTTTTTTTTTTTTCAATAGAAAGGCAGATTTACAGAGAAGAGATAGATCTCATATCCGCTGGTTCACTCCCCGAGCAGCTGTGATGGCTAGAGTTGAAGTGATCCGAAGCCAGGAGCTTCTTCCAGTTCTCCCTCATGGGTGCAGGGGCCCAAGGCTTTGAACCATCCTCTACTTTCTTAGGCCACAAGCAGGGAGCTTGATGGGAAGTGGAGCATCCAGGACATAAACCAGCACCCCCTACCGAATCTCAGCACATGCAAGATGAGGATAAAGCCACTGTGCTGTCGCACCAGACTCTACCACCTTCCTTTTGAACCAAGCCTAGGAGCAGGGCAGAGAGCAAAGGCAACTGCAGATTGGATACAGTTAGGTTTATGGGCACAGCAGAATGGAGAACAGCAGGAAGGAAAATGCTCTGCACCGCCTGAGAATCTTTCACAGGGGAATATCGGAACTAATGTTCTTGAGAATACACTTTGGGAAAAGTTTACATCATCTTGCTGCAAGACAACTTGAACAGCTATTTACACACCAATCACCTTCAGGAGAGCGATGGAAGCCAGATGAGAGACCACTGTCCCTCATATTATTCTGTATTAGTAACACTGGAAAAAAAAAAAAGGAGTGAAGAGTTGCTTGCAGCACCCTTTCCCCGACTGCCAGGAGGGCAATAAGGAGAGAAACGCTTTCAATTTTGTTGCAGGGAGACAGAATTTAAGCTTGGGTCCTCGCCATGGAGCTTAGAGCCATACTTCCCCCATTGAGATCCAGTACCTAATAACTCCAGGCCAGTGTATTAAAAAAAAAAAAAAAAAAAAAAAAAAAAGTCCTTAAACTTATCATGGCATTAGGCAAGAAGACCTGCACTCCGATAGGATGGATTCACTCATTCATGCCCACATATATCATCACCATCCTCAAGTAAGCCTGGCATGCATTCCAGAGATGTCATAGCACCCAGTGAAAGACCCATTTGTGAACCAGCCTGGTGTCAGTCTGTATAGCCAAAGGGGTATATTCCCCCTCCATCCTTGAGCAGATAGCATGAAAACAAAGGAAGGTGTCCTGGGGATGGTATAAATCCCAAACTAGCAGAGGCCAACAGTCCAAGAGCCTAAGTTGTTACTGTGGATGGCGCTCTCAGAATTTGCTTGGTATCAGAACAGAGACCTACACCCAGGTGGGACATAATTCAGTGTGTGTCATCACCAGCTTCATGTGGACCTAAAATACATGTCCAAGATTGACCTAGGTACGAACCACCTAGTACCTTCCTCAACAGTTGAGTGCTAGCCTCTTGTCATCCATCCTCCAAACTCTGGAACATGACAAGGAATCCAAAAACTTGGGGAATCAGAGCCAGACCCACAAAAATCAACAATTAACAGAAACGGCAATCCCTGGCCCCAGACCAGAGATTGAAGCATAGCATCAGGAAATGCCTCCAGGCCCAATTGAGTTTCATGGTCCCAGCTAACCCATGTTATCCCCCAACCAGCATAATCAGTGAATAGTAGGAAAGACATCAAGATTGGGCCCACTTGCACTGGTTGCAATCCTGGCAGCTCCACTTCCCATGCAGCTCCCTGCTTGTGGCCTGAGAAAGCAGTCGAGGACGGCCCAAAGCTTTGGCACCCTGCACCCACGTGGGAGACCTGGAAAAAGCTCCTGGCTTCTGATTGGCTCAGCTTCAACTGTTGTGGTCGCTTGAGGAGTTTGCCATCGGATGGAAGATCTTCCTCTCTGTCTCTCCAACCCTCTGTATATCTGCCTTTCCAATAAAAATAAATAAATCCTAAAAAAATTTTAAAAAGGATTGGGGTTCAGCAATGGGGTTCGGGGTAAAGGAGCCCCTTGCAGTGTGGGGGGTGCCCCAGCCAGGCCAGACAC